TTTATTCTATGTTAATGCTTATTTTAATTATTGTAAATGCATATATAAATCTAATCTTAAAAAAACTATATTCTTGCTTAATAAATTGTTATTTCATTAAAATTAAAATAGATTATCATCTAATTCAAAATTTTAGATTCAGTAAATTAAAATTAATTAATCATTGAAAATTAATTTGATTTAAATTTATAATTTTTTTCACTTGAATATTAAAATTTATTTATATAATACTTTAATAAAAAATCTACTGTTTATTTATTTGGTATCATAATTTATTAATAATAAAACTTATAAACTGCTTTTTAAAATAAAGATACTCTAATATAATATATAAAGTGAATATATTTATAATACTCAATTTCACTCCTAAAAATAGAGCTAGGGAATAAGAAAAATAAAAATTTATTAAACAAGATAAAAAACTTTTTGAGATCGATTAATCTATAAAATATAAATTGAAAAAGCTATTAATCATAGTATTCAAAAATAAAATTTCTAAATGATTAATCTGTTAATTAAATATGAATTTTCTCTCATTAAAAAGTATTAAATTGCAAATTTGTACTAAAATGTATTACTTCATCTTATATTTTGTGAAAAATTTTATTAAAATAATCTTTTTAATTTCAGGATATTATTAAATATTCTTTTTTTAATTTTGTTTAATTTCTTTTTTTCAAATTCTTTTTTACCATTTTTTTAATTTTTTTATACTTTTACAAAGCTTTAAAAATCCTTAATAAATCGATTAAAATATAATCTGACAATTTATTGAATCAGTTAATCAATTATTTTTAACCATTACCTTACTTTACTAACAAGATAAAATTGCATAGGTTTTCTAAAAATAAAATAGAGCTTGAAAAATATATTATTATATATTAAAAAAGAATAGTTTATTTTTCATGTTATCAATTTTTTAATTAAAATCTTATTACTTTAAAAAAACCTCTTAGAAAAACTATCACAAAAAAAAAATAATTTTTAGGGCATTATCTTTAATTTAATAGTAATAAGATACATAATATTAGTATTTAATTTCCAAAAACTATAAACCTAATGCAATATAGTAAAGGAATATTATTTTTCTATAAAAAAGAATTAGTGTTACATTTTTATATTTATTTTGATGAAAATATTAATAAAGAAATTTTATTGCTTAATTTAAAATTACTTGATAAAAATAATTAAAAAATTTACTATATTAATAAATCACTCTACTTGTTTATTTGCTTTCTTTTATTACTTTATTTTTTAATTTGAATATATGTAATTTTTGTATAATAAAAAGTAAAAAGAGATTAATTCTTTTCTACGTTTAATTAAAGTGCCATTAAAATGGAATCAAATCTATCATTGCACCAATAAAAAATCAAAAAAATATATTTATGAATAACATTTTATTTAATTTATCACATTTTCTTCATATGATACAATAAATTAGTTAAACAGAAAAATTTTTCATAAATCTTTTATTAAAATCGTTAAAAAATAATAAGTCGATAGAGGCATACATTTTTACCAGAGTTTTATTAGATTAATCTTACACCTTTATTTTTTAAAAGCCATAATTTATATCTAAAAATAGTAAATATACTTATTAACATTTGTACTGGATTAAATTTTAAATTTTGGTAATTAATTAAATATTAAATAAGGTTTATTTTTCAGGTATTTTAACTATATTTAATTAAATATACACCTATTACTCACTAAATATCTTTTACCACAAAATTTTTAAGCTGCTACAAACGATTTATTTAAATAGAATATCTATTTTTAGCAATACGCTTTGATTAAATGAATTTTGTAAATTTAACTCAACTAATTAATATATTTTAATGAATGATGAATTTCTTACTTTAAACCTCAAATCAAAGCTATAAAGAAATAATAATAACATAAATTTAATATTTAATTTAACACTAGATTTAAAAAAAATGCAATTCAAAAATATTTAATTCCTTTTGACTGCTATCTTAGCAAACCTAGTTTATGGAGGTAATTACTTATATTTCAAATGAAATTCCTAATTATATATTTTTATTGGTAAAGCTGAAAAACTAGTTGTATCGCAACTGAATGGTCTTTTCACTAGTGGATAGGTTTCATGGGTTAAAAATAATGTATTTACATGCGGAGCAACTGACTTTACAGATTTTTCAAGATCAAGTGTTTTGGGTATATTTGGTAATAACAATAATATTACTTAAAATACCTTTAATCTTCCACCACATTGGAGTTTCTCAGTCAGATTTGACCTTCTACTCTATTAATCTTTAGATAATAATATAAGAGAATAAGACATTATATTTGTAAAAATTGAAGGAGTGACAGATAAGTTCTTAAAAGTAGATGCAGGTGGTGGATATAAGTTATGTGCAATGGGGACTAGTTGGGGAGATGAATTAGTCCTTTACTATAGAAATTTTACTCATAATTTATCTTCTACCACTATTTTACTTGATACAAATGCAAATGAGGATGTTAGTAATGAAGGTTACGCATTAAAGAATTTTTATCTATTTGTAGCCATGATACTTGTTTAACTTGTAATGGGCCAGCTGCAAATCAGTGTTTAAGATGCCCTACTAATTCTGATTAAAGTGGAAGTACGTGCTAATGTAAAAGCGGTTACTATGCCCAAAATAATTCTTGTATTGAATATTGCTAATCAGGTTTTAAATAAGACTCAACAGGATAATTCTGTGTTTTAGATTTTTGCGATAAAGCAAAATGCAAATCTTGTGATAATGTTTTAGATATATGTACTGATTGTCTTTCAGGGTTTTTTTTGATAGATGGACAGTGTGTAAATGAATGCCCCTCATATTCGACAGCTAGCGGATCGATATGTGAAGATCTAAAATCTAAAACTAGCAGTAAATTTTTTATTATAAATTTGTTTGTTAATAAATAAATTCAATATTTTTTAGATGGAGTTTACTTGCTTAAAAGTATGTTTGACACTAATTTCGGAGAAAGCGAAGTGTAAGGAGCAGGTATCACAATTGAAGGATTTTAAGGATTCAATGATAAGGCAAGTGGAGCACTAACTACCTCCTGTGGTGGTAAGACATTATTAGGAGGAGCGTACTTAAGTTCTGAAAACGCTATTATTACCTCTACTTTGTATAGTGGATTGTAACCTAATTTTTAATTTTTCATAATATTGTCATAAATTAATAAACAAACTTATATTAGAGATCCTCACTGGTCAGTAGTTATCGGTTATACTCTTTATAAAATCGATTCTTGGAGTACTGAGAGTGTCTAATTATTTGTAGATAAAACTTCCATAGTTACTACAGTAAAGAATGCAGGTGATGGAGACTCAAATATATGTGGAAGATTATCGAAGAATGACTAAATAATAAAAGTTTCTAAAAATATTACTCATTCTAGCTCAACTCTTTAACTTTAAATAAAATCAAATTTAAGAGGAGATACTTTTACTAAATCTTTTGGAATTAGAGAGTTGTATATTCTAGTAGACTATGTAAAATATATTAAATCATCTTCATTTAATTTCACAAATATTTTACTTAAAAAGTGCTCAAGTAATTGCTAAGAATGCAATGCCTCAGGATGTGTCAAATGCAATTCTACCTATTATTTGTATAATTCTTAGTGTGTTTTAGCTTGCCCAGACGGGTATGTCTCTGATAGTCGTAATACTTGCTAAGCATGTCACTCCACTTGTAAAACTTGTTCATCACCATGTAATTTACAAAATTAATTAAAAAACTAAATCTATATAAATTTAGACTATTTCCAATTTTTCTCAAAACAAAACTCTAAAAACAATAAATTTTTTTAATAATAGCGAGCACCTCATGCTTAACTTGCTAAGATAATAATTATTTAAATCCAGACGGTACTTGCAAAGATAGCTGCCCTCCTCAATTCTGGGGTGATAACTCAAAATGGTAATGCAAACCATGTGATGCATCATGCTATTATTGTTAAAATCCAGGTACTTACTTACTCTTTCAAATTGATTAATGTTGTTTTTACTAATTTAAGGACCATTTTAATTATTACCCATAGCTTTTTCTAAAATTATGCTGAAATTATACCTTTTTTTGGTTTAAAAATTATTTGAATGAGGGTATTAAATATAATGAAATTTACTAATTTTTAAAAAATGATAAAATAATTAATAATTTTCAATTCAGTATTTTTAAATATTATTTTAATAGCTACCTCAGTTAATCAATCATATATATTTAAAAACTTATAAGCCAAACTAATTTATCTTATATTTTATTAATTAAAGGTAATTCAAATTCATGTACAAGCTGTAGTGGAACTTTATACTTATTTGGAAACCAGTGTTAAAGTGATTGTCCTGCTAATACATTTAAATTAACTTGTAAAAATTGAAAATTTAAAAAATATTAACTAAAAACTATTCATTCTATAAATAAAAGAAATGTTCAATAATATATGTTAGACATGCCATTTGTCTTGTAAAACTTGTGATGGAGCTACAAGCGATAATTGTTTGAGTTGTGAAGCCCCAAACTTATTCTATTAAAAGGGCTCCAAGACTTGTTCAGAAAATTGTTAATTAAATTAATTTAAAAATACAAGTAATTAGGAGTGTACTTCTTGTAATGCCTCTTGCAAAACTTGTTATGGACCAGATAGTAATAATTGTTTGAGTTGTGAAGGACCAGACTTATTTTATTAAGAGATCTTCAAAAAATGCGTTTAGGATTGTGATAAAAATTAATATAAAAATGAAGTTAATTAGACATGCTCAACTTGTGATCCCTAATGTGCTACTTGCTTTGGTCCTGGTAGTAATAACTGTCTCTCTTGCCCAAGAAATCTAATTCTAATTTTAAGTTTAGGATAATGTGTTGAAAAATGTCCTGTCTCATATTATAAAAATAGTGATATTAATTAATGTCTTCCATGCGATCCTACATGTTAAAATTGTGACGGTCCTTTAGAAAGCAACTGTACAGAATGTCCATAAGGTAAATAAAATCAATAAATAAATAAAAAATTTTTATATTTCTATATTAATTAAATTTTTTTATATAAAGGATTGCTATTATAAGAAAATAAATGTGTATCAAAATGTGATGATTCTTATTATGTTAATCCCTTTTCTAGCATTTGCCAAAAATGTGATTCTTCTTGTAAAACATGTTTTGGACCTTCAGAATCTGAAGTAATTTAAAATTCAAAAAAAAAAATAATAATAAAAATTTCTTATTAAATAAAGTGCTCTTCTTGTGCCTTAGATTTAATTTATTTGAATAACTCTTGCCTTAATGAATGCCCTAAAAACTATTTTACAGTTTAGTAAACTGATGTTTTAGAATGCTTTGAATGCCATAGATATTGCTAGCTAGGATGTTCTGGTCCGCTTAAAGAGGATTGTGATTAGATAAAATACCAATATTAAATAGTTATTTTTATTTTTGTTGCTAAAAGTATTCTCTGGATAGTTTCTTCAGTTATTGGTTACTTTTTAGATAAAAGATAATCTAAGACATTTAATTCTATCATTAAATCTCCTCGTTATGTGACTAAAAGTGAAAAGGTTTCTAAAATTAGTCTAAAATAAGAGGATGATAAGTAAGAAGATAGTTAGCAATAAGAAGAGTAAAGTTAAAACATTGAAGAATTGCAAAATGAATAAGAAAACTAATAAAACTACAAATTAAACAAATTAGAAGATGGTTAAAATTTAAATTTCTTAGAATAAATTATGTAATCACATATAACAACCAAAAAAATAAATCTAAAAAATAAAATACAGAATTCTTAAAGGTCTATTTAAATTTCAGAGTATCAATAAACTAATTTAGAATCAAATCATCGCTCTCAAACTAAGATGTCCAGTTTATGTTTTCCGACTATTGGTACTATTTAAAACTTTAATAAAACCAATAACCAAAAAGTTGTAGATAATTAAGGATAGGATAATGAATCTTCCTAATAACAGGCCTATCTTGCAAACAATAAATTTAAATTCACAATAGTAATTATTTTTATTTATAAAAAATTTGTTAAAAATATTCTATTTAACTTATTTAGCTAGGAAATGAGTGGGTTTCTTTGTTTTACTTTTATGATTCAGAAGTTACCAGAGTTACAAGGGCTATTTTAATATTTTTAAAGTATTAGGCGTTTTTCTTATCTTCTGAACTAGTTTACTCTGTAAATTTTATTTGAAAAATTTTATTTTTATTTTAAATTTTCAAAATAAAAAATAGAATTCTGAATATTTATTGATTGTTGCGCTAATAATCAGTCTATTGTTTAAATAGGTTTTAAAAACCACTTAAGAAATTTTATTAAAAAAGTCTATGAAATTTTTGTCAGTTATTTTTTTCACTCTCATTCTAAGTTCAAGTCTCTACATTGCCTTTTGGTTTGCACCATAACTTCAAAATTTGTATCTTTAGAAAGATAAAGCATGGAGTCTTTATGTTGGATTGCTATTGATATGTGATTTCTTCATACTGTAATAAGTTTTAAGTTTTATTTAATATATCTTTACGATCAAATACTTAAATTCTTCACAAAGTAAAAATAAATTTGTAAAAGTGTACAAATTATTAGCTAATGAATATTTTATTTAAAAAATAAAATGAAAACTTTTATATTACTTAATTAAATTAAAGAAAGTGTATTAATAATTTTATATTCTTTATTTTTGTAAGCTTTTTTATTAGTTTTCTTTTTTATCTAATAAAATCTTTCTTTTAGCTTTTTTTAGAAAAAATTATTAATGACTTCAAAGTTTATTTTTTAAAATTAAAGTTTTTTTAGCTTTTTATAAAGTAAATTATTTTAAAATAAAAATAATTTTATAAATTAAATATAATCATTTAGTTATAATAAACCAATTTGAGTTAAATAAATAATAAATCATAATTTTTCTGTGATATTCTAGCCTAAATAAACTAAAAAAAAAACTTAAAAAAAAATATTTTTCGCAATAAATAAAATATATTATTTGAGGTTAAATAAAGATCAAATATTCTACTATAAAAGTTGCCTAAAATGTAGTTTTAAAGATATAAAATTTACAATTAAATTATTTTTAATTTTATATAATTCAGTAATAGATGTAAGATTTCAATACCTTTAGAAGAAAATATTTTAAAAATGTTGTAATCTTAAATAAATATCCTATAGAATTTAATTTTATTAATGGCATCATACAACCAAGTTTTTTAAATACGATAGAAAATAAATAATATTAATTTAAATAATAAAACCACCTTAACCTATTAACGACATCATAAATATTTTACATATGAAATTAACATAAAATTTACTGCTTATTTACTTACAATGAATAAACTCTACATATTTTTGCTTAATTATTTGACGAAATTTTTGTATGATAAGAAATTTAAGTGAGTTATCATTCCTTTGAATGAAATCCAATTAAAATAAAAATTCATATTATTTTTAATTAAAAAATATTATAATTATTCAAGTATCAAAAATTAATGTTCCAAGTTAAATTTATAAATTTAAGGCCATTTTAATAAATTTTTGTGCTAAAAATTTTTCAAAATTTATTTTTTCTAACTCTTATTTTATTCCAATTAACAATCTGTAATTGTTAGTTAGTACCCCCTTTTAATAACACATTTATTATTGATTCAAAATTTGAATAAATAAAGATAATGAATAGACTATTTCCATCTTTAGCAAACCAAAAGCTATTCTTTACTCCAGTTATGTAATTAAAATTTTCTTTGATAAAATATATTAAATAAATATCTTTTCTTAGTTCATTTTTTTTTTGATTTTTCAGAACTGATGTTAAATTTATTCTACTATTCAAAAATATTTTGTTTACAAAAATGACTGATTTGTATACATTAATCAGATCTAATTTCTTCTTCTTTTCTATACAAATTATGAAAAATTCAGAATATTCAAAGATTTGAGTGATTAAAAAGATATTTATTGGGAACCTTACAATTAAAAAATAGCAATTTTTTTAAATAAAAAACTCTTTTTGTTATTTAAGGTAATCAAATATTCAAATTTTGAAATAATTCTATTAATATTAAACATATAAACTCAATACTATAACCAACCATACCTTATTTCAATTTATTGATTTTTTTAAAAATCAGGCATAATAATCTTTCTTTCAAAAAGTTATAATAATTAATTAATATAAAATATAAATTTAAAATTTAACCTTGTTGCTAAGGTATTTTACTGTAATTATAAAAGTAGAAAAATAATATATATCACTCATATCTATTTTAGATTTAAAAATTAATAACAAATAAAATTATGTATGTATTTTTCATAAATTTAAAAATTATTATTCTCCCAGTCAAAGTTAATGCATATTAAGAATTCACCTTTCATTTTAAGTGTTTTTAAATTGCTTTAACGCTGAAGTGATAAAATAAATAAATATTTGAACAGTAGCTTTAATAGATTATGAATAGGCCATTGATATTTAATGAAAAAAATACATTTAAAACACTGAATTATTAATTTTAAATATATTCTTTTTATTTTGAAATCTTTTAATTTACTGGTTAAATTTAGAAAAAGTAAAAAAATATTAACTTAATAATGATTTGTTTATAGTCTGTAACTCAATATTATTTATGTTGCATAATTATTATTAACAGCCTTACTTTAATTCTATGTTAATGCTTATTTTAATTATTGTAAATGCATATATAAATCTAATCTTAAAAAAACTATATTCTTGCTTAATAAATTGTTATTTCATTAAAATTAAAATAGATTATCATCTAATTCAAAATTTTAGATTCAGTAAATTAAAATTAATTAATCATTGAAAATTAATTTGATTTAAATTTATAATTTTTTTCACTTGAATATTAAAATTTATTTATATAATACTTTAATAAAAAATCTACTGTTTATTTATTTGGTATCATAATTTATTAATAATAAAACTTATAAACTGCTTTTTAAAATAAAGATACTCTAATATAATATATAAAGTGAATATATTTATAATACTCAATTTCACTCCTAAAAATAGAGCTAGGGAATAAGAAAAATAAAAATTTATTAAACAAGATAAAAAACTTTTTGAGATCGATTAATCTATAAAATATAAATTGAAAAAGCTATTAATCATAGTATTCAAAAATAAAATTTCTAAATGATTAATCTGTTAATTAAATATGAATTTTCTCTCATTAAAAAGTATTAAATTGCAAATTTGTACTAAAATGTATTACTTCATCTTATATTTTGTGAAAAATTTTATTAAAATAATCTTTTTAATTTCAGGATATTATTAAATATTCTTTTTTTAATTTTGTTTAATTTCTTTTTTTCAAATTCTTTTTTACCATTTTTTTAATTTTTTTATACTTTTACAAAGCTTTAAAAATCCTTAATAAATCGATTAAAATATAATCTGACAATTTATTGAATCAGTTAATCAATTATTTTTAACCATTACCTTACTTTACTAACAAGATAAAATTGCATAGGTTTTCTAAAAATAAAATAGAGCTTGAAAAATATATTATTATATATTAAAAAAGAATAGTTTATTTTTCATGTTATCAATTTTTTAATTAAAATCTTATTACTTTAAAAAAACCTCTTAGAAAAACTATCACAAAAAAAAAATAATTTTTAGGGCATTATCTTTAATTTAATAGTAATAAGATACATAATATTAGTATTTAATTTCCAAAAACTATAAACCTAATGCAATATAGTAAAGGAATATTATTTTTCTATAAAAAAGAATTAGTGTTACATTTTTATATTTATTTTGATGAAAATATTAATAAAGAAATTTTATTGCTTAATTTAAAATTACTTGATAAAAATAATTAAAAAATTTACTATATTAATAAATCACTCTACTTGTTTATTTGCTTTCTTTTATTACTTTATTTTTTAATTTGAATATATGTAATTTTTGTATAATAAAAAGTAAAAAGAGATTAATTCTTTTCTACGTTTAATTAAAGTGCCATTAAAATGGAATCAAATCTATCATTGCACCAATAAAAAATCAAAAAAATATATTTATGAATAACATTTTATTTAATTTATCACATTTTCTTCATATGATACAATAAATTAGTTAAACAGAAAAATTTTTCATAAATCTTTTATTAAAATCGTTAAAAAATAATAAGTCGATAGAGGCATACATTTTTACCAGAGTTTTATTAGATTAATCTTACACCTTTATTTTTTAAAAGCCATAATTTATATCTAAAAATAGTAAATATACTTATTAACATTTGTACTGGATTAAATTTTAAATTTTGGTAATTAATTAAATATTAAATAAGGTTTATTTTTCAGGTATTTTAACTATATTTAATTAAATATACACCTATTACTCACTAAATATCTTTTACCACAAAATTTTTAAGCTGCTACAAACGATTTAATTAAATAGAATATCTATTTTTAGCAATACGCTTTGATTAAATGAATTTTGTAAATTTAACTCAACTAATTAATATATTTTAATAAATGATAAATTTGTTACTTTAAACCTCAAATCAAAGCTATAAAGAAATAATAATAACATAAATTTTATATTTAATTTAGCACTAAATTTAAAAACAATGCAATTCAAAATTATTTAATTCCTTTTGACTGCTATCTTAGCAAACCTAGTTTATGGAGGTAATTACTTAATATTTCAAATGAAATTCCTAATTATATATTTTTATTGGTAAAGCTGAAAAACTCGTTGTATAAGAACTGAATGGTCTTTTCAGTAGTGCAGATGTTTCATGGGTTAAAAATAATGTATTTATATGTGGAGCAACTGACTTTACAGATTTTTCAAGATCAAGCGTTATGGGTATATTTGGTTAATATAATAATATTAGTTAAAATACCTTTAATCTTCCACCACATTGGAGTCTCTCAGTCAGATTTGACCTTATACTCTCTTAATCTTTAGATACTTCATAAGATGATTATGTATTAGTAAAAATTGAAGGAGTGACAGATAAGTTCTATAAAGTAGATGCAGGTGGTGGAAATAAGTTATGTACAACCGGGACTAGTTGGGGTGATGAATTAGTCCTTTACTATAGAAATTTTACTCATAATTCACCTTCTACCACTATTAAACTTGATTCAAATACAAATGAGGATATTACTAATGAAGGTTACGCATTTAAGAACTTTTATCTATTTGTAGATACTTGCCATGATACTTGCTT